TATCCTGTATAAACTGTCTAAGAGCAAGCATTCGTCAGCCTTGTCCATAAAAGAGACATGCCACATCATGTGACTACGATTACTGGCTCACAGCTGCACTGTGAAATCACCAGGTGATGACAACAGGAAAACACACAGTATTCCCTTCGCCCTCATCTGTGCTGGAAAACTAGAAGAATGTGAAGTACCAGCAACCTAATTGCAGCAAGAGTGCCGGATAGGAAAGGTCCAGAGCAAACTAACTTCAGATCTCCTCTACAGAGAACAAGCAGGGTGTGCTGGAAAATGCTGTGACCCTGAGGCAAGATAGAGATGGAGACAATCAGAGGGACTAGGAAGGAGAGGAGCCCCTCACCCTCCTCTAGTGGAAGTCTTTCATTCACAGTAGTCAAGCTTTTGACACAATTGTGAAGTCGTCTACATATTTTGGAACAATAGTCCTTTTCAATAGAGACATTTCAAATAAGAACATTAAAATAGGGACCGGGGATCAGGAGCACTGATTGTTCTTGCAGAAAAACTGTGTTCAATTCCCAGCACCCACATGGAGGCTAACAATCATTTGTAACTCCAGTTCCAGAGGATTCCACCCCATTTTGGTCTTTGTGGGCACTGCACACATGAGGTACACCAATATATAAGCAGGCAAAACACTCATACACATAAAACAAAAATAAACCTCAAAGGAAAAAAAAAAAGAGTGCTAGGGGCCGCAGCGCTAGCTCTGTAGCTAAGAAGAGCACGGGTGTTCTCCCAGGAGCGCTGGGGTCTCTGGTCTCCTCAGCACCGTGTGCTCTCACACTCACATGCAGATACATAATTAAAAGCACTAAAAATAAATCTTTTTTGAAAAAGAAGTAAAAATTTAACTTTACCAAACAAACGATAACTTTATTTTTAAAAAGAGTATTAAAATAACAAGGGATCATGCTTAAGATCAAAGCACATAGGACGCTGAGTTTAACTTTCTCTCTCAGCCACAAAACTGGATTCTCAAACAGGATTAAAACCCTGTTCACAGAAGTCTAAGTTTTGTGACGAACACTCCTTTGACCTTTTGGTCTGTGTTTCTGATCCTGTCACCCTGATGCGCAGTCAAGCACATCTCAGAAATCGCTGTACTCCTCCATGATCTCATTTTCCTTAAGGAAAGAAACGGGAAGGGATTGTGCCCTTCAGGAGACGCGCTGCACATGAATTTCAGGTCTTGAGCTACAGAGTGAGACTCCCAAGAAAACGGCAAACAAACAAAAAACATTCCCGAGCAAAGGTACCTAAACCACAGATAGGAATAAGACATTCCAATGGGAGGCTCCTGTAGGAAGCTCATGATTGTACAACAGCCTTCCTGAAACACCTTTCTGTTTCCCTTAAGGTCTGTGTTTCTCTGTTAAAAATCTTTCTTGTCAGAGACAGAAGTGCGTGCCTATCATTCAGCACTTGGGAGGTGGAGACAAGAGAACCAGAGTTAAAGGTCATTCCTGCCTACACAGCTGGATGAAGAGCATATGAGACCCTGTCTTAGGAAGAAAGAATAAACGTAAGAAATCTTAATGAATTCCACCTCTGCTTTATGCTCACTGGTCCTAAAATTCCCTTCTTCAATGTCAAGAACCTCAGTAAAGGTCTCTTTAGACTCTTCAGGTGTCTCCCAGTCCCTGCCTCTGCTGATAGTTCAGCAGTCAGAAGGCTAAGGCAGTGGAAGGCAGAGTTCAAGGCTAGCTTAAACAATTCAGCTTAGTAAAAACAACAAACAACATTCCTTAAAGCCAGCGAGAACAGGAATACTACAGTACTAATATAGCTCAGGTGCAGAAGAAACAAACAGGTAATGCTGCTGAGAGACAGGAACCTGGGGACACAGGCAGCCAGCAAAACCCCTTGAAACAGAAGGCTCAGGATACCCAGCAGGTCAGTGAGCCAGGGCAGGCACTGCTCAGTCTCTTCTGAGCGATGGCTCTTCACTCTGCAACAGCCGTCCTCAGTCACCACAGACAGGCAGACAGTAAGAAGGTGCTGCAGCCTGAGGGACAAGCAGCAGTGAGCAGAGTCTACTGCTATTTTGCTGGAACCATTACAGTACACAGGAATGCTTCACATTACCACAGTTCCTGTAAATCTAAAGCTACTCCAAAATTAAATTAGAAGAATGGGGTCAAAGGAAAGATTATTTTATCCTGCGAATCAGCAAAGTATATGCTACACGAAATTGGTTCAATTAACCAACAAGGTAAACAATGAAGGGATGAAGATTAGAAGAACTATTAATAGATTTCAAACTTAACTTTCAGTGTTTAAAACTACATTTATGAGCAAAAATTATGAGCAATAACTGTTCCCTTAGTACCCCGGTATTTACTGTGGTGGCCCACGCCTTTAATCCCAGCACTGGGGGGGGGGAGGTAGAGGCAGGCAGATCTTTGTGAGTTCGAGGCCAGCCTGGTCTACAAGAGCTAGTTCCAGGACAGGCTCCAAAGCTACAGAGAAACCCTGTCTGGGGGGTGGGCGGGGTGGTGGGACGATGGGTTCCTTATGGATTTTGTTTTCTCAGGGCTGTAATTGCATACTATGGCTAAAATTATTTCCCTGGGTGGAGACATAAGCAACATCTCCCTCTCCCTCTTAAGGTCCCAACGAAAAACTGAGGCATACTTCCATTAAGATTCACTCTGGGGAGCCAATGAGTTTGTTAAGCTTCCAAAGGGGTTACTGAAGTGTGATAGCTTTCCCATAGGTGCATAGATGGAGTCCCCCTCCCCTCATCTTCCCTGGCCGATGTACTCTAGCCTCTCCCAAAGGAAATTAGTGCAGAGTTGCCTATAATAGGTGGTGTGGAGAAGCTGGAAACTCAGGTGGCTGTCCCCACCTCTCTAAGAGATGTACTAATCAACAAGACCAGCTGGGATGACCTTTTTCAAGCATGCACAGCTCAACTCCTTGAAGATGTGGTTGTCTGACACACACAACACATACACAGATTGTCCATGGGGTCAGATTCTAGTGCATCTTATGAGTATACATATCAGCTATTCCTTCCTCACTACTACCTTTTCCACTGCAGATGGCTTTCACTGTAGTGTGAAATCTGTGTGTATCTGAATAGCAGGACGCTCGGAGGGAACCGTGGACAAGTACAGCGGAGGGGTACAGCGGAGGGGCTGTGCTGTAAAACATGTCCTCTAGCTCCAGGTCTACTTTTCATTCTCAAATTCCCATGATCCTCAAGCCAAGGGCTGGGGAAAACAGCAGTTATCTGGGAAAGGAATGTGGCACCCCTAGGGACTTTTATAAAACCTGGCAATATTCTTTGGTTGTCACATTAGGGTTGAGAAGGAGTCCCATCAGGATGGGTAAAGACCAAGGGTACTATGTATCTCTATTAGGCACAGGCCAGTCCTCAACAAGTCATTCAGCCCCAAATTTCCCCTAAAAACAGCATTTTTCCAACTGATAAATGCAAGAGATTGAACTAACTGGTGAAATGAACAAATCAAATCCCTAAAGATTAGATACTTGATTAAATTTATGTAACACTCTTGATATGACAAAACTATGCAGATGAAAGAGATTAGTGATTGCCAGAGGTTAGAGACCCAGGGTTCAGGGAATTCTTAAGGAGAACGAGTGAGTGTGGAATCACTGTAAGACAGGACCACTCTGCCTTAAATACACCAACATCGACACCGTGGCTACAATGTTCAGGGATGTTTCTTTTCGTAAAAAGAAGCAGAATTTCCCAGACAATTTATTTTTATTTTTAACTATGTGTATGTGGGGATGAGTATGGACGTGTGTGTGCAGGTGCTGGTAGAGTCCAGAGGTATCAGACCCACTGGAAGTTTCAAGTCAGTAACATGGGTGCTGGGAATTGACCTGGGATTCTCTGCAAGAACTCGACTTCCTATTAACCGCTGAGCTGTCTAACTCTCCAGGCCTACCTGAAAGGTTATCGGTTAACTCGTCAACGGGTTGTGAGGGCTTCAAGGCTAGTGGAAGCTGGATGACTAATTGTAGGAAGTCAGGCTGAAAAGTAAACTCGTCAGAACTGCAGAGATCTAATGAACTGTGCATGGCAGTTCATTCTTATAATCCCAGCATGTGGGAAGCTGAGGCCAGTCTGGGCTACAGAGTGAGACCCTATTGGAACGAGGGGTGAAAATGGCTAGCTAATGGCTAGTAGAGCAAAGGTCAGTGATCTGCACTTGTTACCACAAAGGGAAGCCCCACAGGAAGAGGCAATAGTACCAAGCTTCAACTCTTGACGACACAGAACAAGGATCGGGGTGGTTTGGGTTTTAGAGATGCTACATTCAATGAACAGGGAGAGGGAAATGACCTCACACTGGAATCCAGGTCTCACTTATGTGGGAATTGCAGTTGAAGTTACATGGCAACCCCGATGGTGCAGGGGAGGTTTAAGTAATGAAGGTACAACAGGCGCAGACCTGAACTTGGGGACACTGTGAACTTTGGAGGGAAAGAACCTATGAAAGATCTCAGAAGGGTGCCAAGGAACATCCAGAGAATATGCTGACAAGCAATATGAAGTGCCATGAAGCTTACTGAGGGCCAGGCTGGAGAAATGGCTCAGTGGTTAAGAGCACTGGTTGCTCTTCCAGAAGATCAGAGTTCAATTCCCAGCACCCACATAGGAGATAGCAACTATCTCTAACCCCATTTCCAGGGGATCTGGTCTCTACAGACATTGCATACACATGCTGCACAGGCATATATGCAGACAAAATATACATAAAATATAAGTTAATTAATTTAAAAATTTACTGAGGGCTAATCCAGGTGAGTGTTGAGGTAAAGCCAGATTCAGCAGTCAGCACAGGTTAAAAAAAGTCTTCAAAGCTTTTCATATTCAAACCTTACATATACATTCCGAAGAATGAAAGCAGACAGACTGTTATTATCAGGGTTCTCGAGAGTAACAAAACTTACAGAACAATTTTCTCTTTATATATGCAGAAAGGGGATTTAGGAGAATGACTTACAGGCTGTGGTCCAGTTAGTCCAAGAACAACTGTTCACAAGGGAAGGTTCAAGGATCCAGTAGCTGTCCAACCCACAGCTGTCTTCAGTGTACACTGGAATCCAGAAGAAGCAGGCTCCAGTGCCAGTGAAGGCGTGCTAGTGAGGGCGAGAGCAGAGAGCAAGTAGAAGAGAAGCTTCCTTCTTCCCTGTCCTTTATATAGGATGCCAGCAACAGGTGTGGTCAAGCTTAAAGGTGGATCTTCCCAGCCCAAAATATCCGGACTAAAGGCGTGTCTTCCCTCCTCAACGATTCCGATTAGAAGTGACTCACCCCAGTTCAAATGATTTAATTAATTTAGTTAATTCCAGATGTAGTCAAGCTGACAACCAAGAATAGCCATCACAGAGACTCAAACAGATACACGTAAAGACGGATAAAAGGAAATACACAATGACTCTACTTACAATGAAGTATCTAAGCCAAGTAAATTCATAGAGACTGAAGGGGTACCTGTGGGCACAGTGTCCATCTTGAGTGATATAAATGTTATGGAGTTGACGGTAACATAGCATTATGAATGTGCTTGATGCCATCCAATTATACTACTAACAATAAAACAATAACCTCCATGTTGTGTATACTTTACAAGAAAAACAGTAGTATAAACTGTGAAAACTTGCAAGAAATAGCACAGAAATGTTAAAAATCTAAATAAGATTGCAGGACACTTGTCCAAAATGAAAAGTACGGACTTCTGTTTGCTGGCACACAGAAACAGAGATTAACAAAGGGTTAGTTCCTAGTTTTTCCTAAAGCAGTATTTCATATTTTAAAAAAAAAAAATCAAGAAATAAGTTTTTGTGTCTTTTGTTTTCTTTTACAAATCGGAACTACTCCTGTCACGTAAGTAACTCTATTTTAGTGGGTGCACAGATTGTGAAGCATCCCCCAAGTATCATGTTCTTTTTGAAGATAAGCAACCAACCAGTCTGACCCTGATGGCTCTCCTAAACAGAAAGGACTAGACCAACTCTTCCATCATGAGCACGTTAATATCATGAAAGGGGGAGAGCTAACCGAAAGGGGGTGGGGTTTGTTGGTTTTCCTATTTATCCAAAAATGCATTAGTTTTGGGTGTATGGAAACTATACAAGGCAATTTCTTTAACAAGCATATGGGGGGGGGGGGGGGGAGAACAAGAAGCAGCAAACAAGCATCCTGTCTTTCCAGCCTCACGTGTAGTCGCGGTCCAAATCCTGATTCGCACAGACCGACTAACAACAATAATGATAAAATCGACATTTTTCTGGTGAATCACAACACCGCCCGTAAGTTACAGCCACCGAGAACTTGGCCCCGCGCAATGCCCATCCCTGGTGCTGAAGCCGGAAGCAGCGCGGGCCTCCCAGGCCACCCAGCCTGCTACAGCAGCCG